TCCAAGATTCAGTCGATCAAGAAGGAAGAACAGGCGCGCAAAGAGGAGGGAGAGAGGGAAAAACAGTTACGATGAGAGGAACAGGGGAGGGAGGGGAGAGAGAGAKAGATGATACGYGGGGGAGAAATGRCRCRGGGAATAAGGAGGAGGAAGCTYRCATGCATGGCGMTAGCAGCAAGAGAAAAAGGCACCAAAACAGTTACAGCTTGCCTATGTCCTACAACAWTTCAAAAATYGAAATCACCATGTCCGCGCGCGAAGTCGAYGCGGGAAAAGAGAATCCTACGTCTATCCATATTCCTTACAAAATTCCTAGAGCTTTCGACGACGTGACCGAGAACATTCATGCACAAAACGGACACGTCGCGTTCCAGTTATTCCGGAACTCCCAACTGTCGAGATCAATTCCCCACGCGCTCGCTAAGGCGCGCGTGATCTCCCATGCATTTCCCGAATTTCAAAAAGCAGAATTCCAAGAATCAATTAAACTTCCGAAAATTGAGGGCCGAAAACAAGGTGCCTGAAATCAAGAAAAGCAACAAGGGGTTTGACTGGCCCGTATGGTACAAAAACAAAAATGAGCAGAAGGGTACGAAAGATAGCATGGGGTCGGGAAGTGGTTCGTCACATATGTGACGCGCAGGGGGTTCCAAAATTATGCGATCTCCCGATTGCATGCAAACTTGGTACACGGGGAATGGGAGGAGACGAAGAAGCAGGAAGAACTACAAGGAGGGATAAGATGGCGACGACATCAGTGGCAAGATCCGTTGCAGACGTGTCATAGGCAATCCCCGCCTCCTTGATCTCAGAAAGTTGTCCAGGTGGCACCATCATGGTCCACCAACCCTACGCACGCATTTCCATCGACGCAACCCATCAGAGCGTGATTGGCGAGGCTCGATGATCCGTAACAGCCGGGGATTGGTGCCGATCTCTCTAATTGATCGCCACTTGGAGCTTGATACATGCCACTTACCGTGTGAACGAGTGTGGGGGTCATGCAATGTGGCCACACAGCTCCGACTACTAAGATCCCAGGAGGGGGCACTTACACCTGTCCAAAGTGGATGGGAAAAGAGCAGCGATACGTGAAGGCATGAGTACGGGGAGGATGGGTGGGAAGCGGGGGAAGAAAGCGTTCCAAATCGACCGTGGCTGGAAACTCYCGATAGCGCAYGATTCGATAGAAKYGGGGGAAAYGATTGCCRKTACGGGGGAGGGAGGYGAGATAATCGCGGTWYAGGGTGGTGAGGGTTYTGAGAAGGGSCGTGCGAAAGTGATCATGGTTTTCGCAGGCTGGGATGGTTCCCGTGACGATGCAGTAGACCTCGATGTGGTTGAGGCCTCGCCACGTGACACTAAGGAGAAGAACGTGGAGGGAGAAATCAGGAACAGCACAACGGGTGGAGGAGTGGGGAATGACTGTGATAGCGAGGCGAGAGGAGTAGAAGAAACGAAAAGTAGCTGGCTCGGTGAGACGGCGAAGGGTGAGGTAATCAAGGGGACGGCGAGAGATTGATCGGGGACGAAGTCTGATTCCCCGCATTGGTACGTTGACGAACTGGGGGACGGGTGGGGCTGGTGGGGGAGGGGGATCGGCTTCGTCTTCGCCGCGTTGCACTTGGGGTCGTGGCTGAGAGGCTGCCATCTTCGGGTCGGGGCGGCTCCGGATCCCGGCTGGGATCGTCGTCAATGCGCAGGCTGCCTTCGCGAGCCAATTTCCGCTTCTGTTTTCCGACAGCGATCTTCTTTCTCTTACGGGCTGCTCCTGGGTCCTGCGCTTCCGTGCCCAAGCGCGTCGCCTCCTCTGGCGGGACTTCCCACTCCGATTCGGCCGATGCTTCTTTGTGCTCCTCCTCTCCTTCCTGGTCCTCTTCTTCTTCTTCTTCGCTTTGGTCCACCTCGCTCTGCTCGCTGTAGCTCCCCTCTTCAGGAGTCTCTTCTTCGTCGCCAAGCACTTCCTCACTATCTTTGCCCTCGTTCTCCGTTCCTTCTTCTTCTTCGTCCTCGGTACTTTCTTCTTCCTCCTGTTCCTCCCTTATGGCTTGGAATTGCGTCGTAGTCGGGTAGCGAGTCCGGATGCGATCAATGATCTGCGCTGGCTTCAAAAAGTCCTACCGCGAAGGCGGGATCTGCTCCTCAGTTCCCTCTATGCAGGCCGACCACTGAAGATATGGATCTAGTGTCCGAGCAAGAACGTGGGGCACTGGATGCTCGTCGTCTTGCGAGACGATCTTGAGAGGGAGGTCGTCGGCCAACTGCGCTATCGGGGTCGTGAGCACCTACACGATCAGTTCCTCGCGCCCGGGCCGTACGGTACCGATCAGGAATCCCAGAAGGTCCCCTTCCACGTCGGTCCGCCACGCTTGGATTACGAGCAGCTTGAGGCGCTCCACCCACGAGCGATGCGGTTCGTCCCTGGTCCACGTGGCCCGTACTTCGACTAGTCCCACTGATAGATCGGCGAATTCTTCGCGCCAGAGGGTCCAGTGGCGAGGCTCGATGATGGGGACCGCAAGGGACTGAAGACAGAGGGAGAGAGAAGGATGGATAGGATATTGGACTGCCAAAAGGTGGGGAAGGAAGAGGGGAGACTGAAGGAAGAAATAGGAGCAAGGTTCATTGGGGACGTCGGAAAGGGACAAGAGAGGGGAGTTGGGTCGGCGGATCAGGCTGAGACAGCTGAAGGCCGATGTACTCAATGGCCTGCGAAGGTGCGACCACGTCTTCTTCTCGAGCTTGCTGAAGTGTCCACGCGTTGACCAAGTTCTATGCCCACGCTCGTAGTGCTGCTCGGATCTCCGTAGCGCGGAGCGCATCCGAGAGAGATGTGAGATCGCCGCTGAAATTGATGACGGTCATTATTCGGCTGACACGTGGCGAGGAACGCTGATGTACTGTCGTTGCTTCCGCCAATACCACCGTGTCCGGGCGTCCTTCGATCCGAAAAGTTGCCGCTGCGTACACTCCCGTGGTGCAGAAGAAATGCACAAGGCGTCGAAAATCGGGGCTGATACGAGGATGATGGACTTGGCGAATTGACAGTTGTCCTCGCGGTGCCAGCGCTTGCTCGCTGAGTGCTTGCTCCCTGAGAAAACTCATGGCGAGGGTGGAGAAGAGGGTGAAGAATGAGAGGGAGACGGAGGGATGGAGACGGGGGCTAGATCGTCTTCGTCTTCGTCTTCACCAGACGAAGGAGACAAGGAGAAATTGGGAGGAGGGAGAGGATGGATGTAGGAGGTATGGCGAACAATGGGGACGGAGCTATGGCTGGCGCTGGCCTCAGGCGCGATGCGCACCGTGTTGGCACCGTTTGGTCCGAGCTCGACGATGCGGGAACAGCCAGAAAATTTGGGAGCGAGTTTCCGGTCGCGTGCACATTTACGTACCTGCACCAGGTCCCCCAATTTATATTGATGCTGGGGACCCGTATTCCCATTTCGGGCCTCGTAACTACGGACCTGTCTCCCGTGGGCTAGATCAGTCATTTTGTGCCTTTTCCGTGCTAGTTTCGGGATAGACCTTACCATTAAATCGGCATACCTTTTGGCCTTGGCCTTAAGGGCTGCACGTGTGTCCCTACCCCCTGCCTCGGCAATTTCCAAGTGGCCTCGATAATCGACACATGGGAGGCTATTGGTGCGAAGCTGAAAGGGGGTGAACCCTGTGGATTCGTGAGGGGTGGCCCGATGAATTCCGACGATTTGATACACGATTTCGGGCCATTAACGCGTGCCATTTGCCGCTAAATTCCTGCGAAGAGCCGTCTTAATCATGCGATTGGCATTTTCGGCCAATCCATTCGACTGAGAAACGTGGGGCGCCGTATGCCGAAGCATGATGCCTCGTCGTGCAAGCAGTTCCTCGACTTCGCCCTTGAATTCGGACCCATTATCCGTCAAAATTTCCTCTAGATGGGTATAGAGAAAACGATTGATGTACGTGGCTATTTTTGCGGCCTTACGAGTCTTGCACGGGTAGACCTCAATGTATTCGGAAAAATGATCTATTAAAACTAAAAGAATGAAATATTCGCAACGGTTTGGGCCAGGTGGCACGTCAATATCTGTCGTGTCCATACCACAAGTAGTTAACCAGGGGTGTTATCTTTGGCGAATTTTGCACCGAAACAGTCATATTGTGCTGATTTTTTGCTTTTTTTCTTGTTTTTCTTTTTGTGTGATATATATGTGTTTTAGGGTACGTCATGTGTCCAGTTTTGACATGTTTGGATCAATAATGAAAAGTTGGCGTTTCGTTGAATTCGTTGGACGCTTCATTTTAACTCGGACAGTGTTTTTGCGTTAGGGTTTTATAATGTTTTTTTTTTTTTTTTTTNGTTAGGGTTTTATAATGTTTTTTTTTTTTTTTTTCATTTTCTTTTGTCTGTTTTTCTTTTTGATGTTTTCACTATGGACCCATATTGTTTGTTTTTGAAAATTTTGATGAATTTTGCACCGAAATTGCTGGCGAAATTGGCGAATATTTGGCCTCCCGTTAACCATCTCTCGTCCATACTGACTCGTTGGAAAGGACGCTCTACTTCTGTCGGTACTATCGTGTTTGGACCCTGTATTGGGGCGCGATCAGCGGCACAGACCGGACAGTTGGCGACGACGTATCTGACATCATCCCGTATATTGGACCAGAACCATCGATTTCGGTCTACAGTTGCCTCTGTGACACGTATCGCGAAATGAGCAGCTTGCTCCTCGTGAGCGGATCGAGTCCAATCGTATCTTTGAAACGGATGAGGAACCGTCAACCATAACCCCGATCCGTCAGTTTTACGCTTTTCCAGATGACCGTTGATCCATCGGTAGTCTCTAAATCTCTCCATAGCCCGACGTCTGTCATGCTTAGTGAGATGATCCAATGATAAACCGACCCATTTAGCTAATAGAATTTTATCCGTCCAGACTTCTGCCCGTCTATACTTCTCGTCGTATCCGGGACCGTCCATACGGGCGGCCTCGAATCGAACCTCTGGCGGTAACTTGTCTGTCCGACACAAAGGGCATTTCCACACTTTGTTGTCGGTCCGGTACCTAATGCATGCTCCATGTGCGCGATTAACGCACGTGGAACAGTCTACCCAATCAGCAAATCCGGTCTCAGAGGGGTAAAAATCCACCCCGTAGACCCGTGAAATACACATACAGAAATAATAGAATTTATCAGGGAGGGTGGCGAAGAAGGCTGAGGCGGTGAGAGAGGCGGGTTCAGATGGAGAAGCGGGAGTCGTGGAGACAGGTGGGGTAGCCATAGTTTAAAAGGAAAAGTCGGAGAGGAGAAGAAGAAGAGATGGAGAGGGAGGGAGCTCGGGGGAAGATAGACGGAAAACCCCGTGTCACTCACTCCTTCGATAAGATTTCCACTTGTCCGTACCGGGGTCCAATTTCGCTCTTCGGCTCGTTCCACGGAACCACCTCCTCAGTCTTAGGAACTCTATCTGGTCGATGCAGTCGCGTCAGTGCGTCTGCGTTCCCGTGCCTCTCATGCTTCCGTTGACGGATGTCAAGGTCCATGCTCTGCAACACTGTTGCCCATCGGCCAATCATGCCCGAGTAATCCTAAGATTTCTTCAGGGCCAGCAGGGGCTCATGATCGGTCACCAATGTGAATCTCCGTCCGTACAGGTAGGCTCGAAAGTGACTGATCCCCCACAAAGCTGCATAGCATTCTCCGGTAGGAGCGGCGTAATTGCGTTTGCACGCTGGCACTGACTTGGATGCGTACTCAACCACGTGTTCGAGTCCGTTCAATCCCACTTGAGCCAAGATCGTGGAAATCGCCTCTGGTTGCCAGTCCGTGATGAGAACAAAAGGTTTTTTTGGATCCGGTCTTATAAGTACCGGTGCCGAAATAAGAGTTGCCTTGAGTCTCAAAAATGCCTGGTCACACTCCGGCGCCGAGATCAACGATTGATCTTTCTTCAGCAGATTTGTAAGGGGTCCCGCAATTGCCGCAAAACCCTTGATGAATCTTCGGTAGTATGAGGCCAGGCCCAGGAAGGCACGAACCTGCGTGATAGTCGTAGGTACAAGTGCATCTCTGACAGCTGCTACCCTCTGGGGTTCCGGCCTGAGCCCCTGGTCTGTCACCACTGTCCCAAAAAGGAAATTGTGGTGAGGAAAAACTGACATTTTTCGAGCGCCACCTTGAACCCGGCGTCTTTCAACGCATGTAATGCCCATTCGATGTGTTGCACGTGCCCTTCGTAGGAGCTTGAATACACCAAAATATCGTCCATGTACACGATCACACAATAGTTGATGATGCTCTGTGCCAACCTCGTCTTCCGTACAAAATTATGGAAAGCCTTGCTCATGGCTCGCTGAAAAGTCGCTGGTGCATTGCAGATGTCCATCGGGCATCGAATCCACTGCCAAGTTCCTTCGAACAACACAAACGCCGTCTTCGGACGATCTTCCTCACGAACGAGAAGATGATGGAACCCATGACGAACATCAAACTTACTGAAAAATCGTACACTCCCAATCGCATCCAGCAATTCGTGAATACGGGGAAGGGGATACACATCTTTAATCGTGATATCATTCAGATTCCGATAATCAATGCATATGCGGATCCCTCTTGACTTTTTGGGTACAATTACCACGGGAAATGACCAGGGTCCTATGGCGGGTTCAATCCATCCATTAGCTTCGAATTCCTTAATTCGCTCAAAGCGGCTGCCCGTTGGGCTGACGAGTATCGATAAGGAACGCAGCTAATGGGCAGGTGATCTCCCGTCAGGATAGCGTGCTCTATCACATTGGACAACCCAATATCATTATCGTGCACACTTAAAATTTCCACGTACCCATGCAAAACATCAATCAAAGATTTTCGAAATTCCAGAGGAACGTGATTAGGCACAGTCACGGATGGTCGATCGGGTATTTCAAGAGGCACGTTAATCCCATCAGTGGGTCGGTCCCTTCTGTCAAGTACACTAGAAAACACAGAGCTGCTGGTGCGAACAGAAAACACAGCCGCAATCATCTGAGATTCCGCAGGGCTAACCATCTCGGTCTCTTTGATCTCGGCATTAGTCTCAGAGTCAGTTGTTGCTTCTTCCACAGTTAGGCCTGTCAACTCTTCCATTTCCTGCATCAAATCCGGCACGCCACCTACGGGAGCTTCGTCTTCTTGTTTAATCAAAGCAATGGTCGCCCCCGTTGTGAGTAGCGATCTTGAAGGGTAGGTAGAGACATCCAGATATTGTTTCATCTGTTGGTAGCGCGCTCGCAGAGAAAGCGTTCCCTCCTACAAGGTACGAGGGGGTTCCAAATCGTCTGCAAGATCCGAAATTTGCAAGATAGGTTCCTCGATAACGGTCGAGAAAGTACCCTGGGTTTCAGTCAGGACAGTCGTGTTATCTTCGAGACTCAAATGAAACGTTCGTGTGGTTCCGGGAACCATGCGGAATTTCTCCTGAGTTTCGTGTTCGAAAAGTTCGACCAAATGCTTCCATTCTTCTTCATTAGGCATTTCTTTTTTATACTCTAGTTCTTCGAATCCGCTACTGTCATCCGGCGATGAAGATGGATTTGCTTCGCAATCGTGACCCCGAATCATTCCAATCCCAGCAAAACCAGAGTTTCTTCTTACTATCCGGGTGGAAATCCCTAACGGAACAGTTCGAGGTTTTCCTCCTGTTTGGGTGAGCACCAGCTGTTTAGAATCGAAATGTATGCGGGCACCTACCGCCATTGCCCACGACAAACCTAGCAATACAGAATACAAGTGCACGTCTTTAACTAATGCGTTTACAAGGACATGTACTCGACCGACTTTTATCACCACGTTTTCAATGACCCCAACGATATTCATCGCTTCCTCGTCAGCAGAGACATAATTATCTTTGTCAGATAGAGGAAGGATGGAATTGAGTCGGCCCATTCTTCTTACCGTGTCTAAGGATATGGCGACCGCCGAATCCCCAGTATCGATGAGGGCGTTAAACGACTTGCCCCAGATTTCACAATCACATTCCGCACTTTTCCATAACACAGGACGAGCTCGTACGAAGTGATCTTTCTCGGCTAGCGAGATCTTGGCTACTCGTGCGGCTTCGGGCTTGTCTGTTCCGGGTTCAGGAGGGGCAATCCTCTCGATTTCTTCCTCCTTGTTTTTCTTCAGCATCCGCTGAATGCGCTGATAGGTGAAACGCTTGTGGTTCTTTTGACACTGTTGCAATAACTTATCATTGGCCGCTTCGGATATGGTGAGCAAATGCCCTACTGGCACTGGAACACGGATATCCAATTGCTTTAACGTTCGTAACACATCAATTTCCCCTGTACGAAATTGTGGTCCTGGGTTTGATTCGCGTTCTACCCATTCAAGATCGTCGTTGCCCGATCGGATCGCTCCGATCATGCCGGTGGTCGTCCCAGCCATACCAACAAGATGAAGGTACTCCGTCGGATCAACCACCTCAGCAGCTTTGGATGGCGAAGTTCCGGAAGTCCATGCGACTGGCATCGACGGAAACGGTCGTTCGGGTGTGTAGGCGACGATCGCATCATCGCGGATCGTATCCATCAGTGCCGCTACTCGTCCCTGATTCAGAGCTACGGGGGCTGCAGCCGGTGGAGGTTGGTTCCGTTTCGGCTGCTGACAGTCTCGGGCGAAATGTCCGGGCTGTTTGTAGTTGTAACACTCAATTCTCCCCGCAAGGTTGGCTGCTTGGGGGAGCTGCGGCGGATGTCCAGGTGTAGGTGGAGCGGCCAAGAGGGGGAAAGAGGCAGGGGCAGGTCAAGCAGGAACCGCGTTGGGCTTGATTAATCTGCCCATGATCTGTTCCATTCGGTCCATGTGAGCTGCCTGCATCTGAACCAGATTGCTCATCCATTCAGACTGTTTTGTGGTGGCCGTGTGAGTCACCTGTGCCAGATGCATGTTCGTTACGGCGGTGGAAGCGGGATCGCTCCAGGGGTTGACTGTAGCAACCTGCTGATGCATTGAAAACGATTGAGGGGGGGGAGAAAATGACGGCGGAATATCAGGAGAAAACCCATCCGGGATATCATGATCAGGGCAAGGATAATATCGTCCTATCGCTTGCAACCACGACCTTCTCGCCGCCACGTCTAGGATTGTGTCAGTTATATCCAGCGTTGCCACGCAGGGATCCCCGGGGCCCAAGCCGGGGTAGGGATTTCACCCCCAGACCCCCGCCGCGGGGCTACTTGACCACCGCCCCC